TACTTATGTTATATTTAACAACGTTCAACAAAGTTTGGTCAACTCGCATCCTAATTGAGGTCTACAGATTCAAATTTTGACCTATATAGACCATATGCAATTTAAAAGTTGTCATTGGCAAACATATATTGTAAAGGTCACGAAGTTTGTTGATCGTATTATAATCTTTAATTCATTAATTGCAACATTTGTATGGTTCAGAGAGGGAGAAATACTTCATATATCACTAAGCTATGAGAATTTTAGAGCAGGGTACCACTTAAGTAAATATAGGGCACCAAATGTCATGAAATTCAATGAATTGCCGTGCAAAAAAATTTCCATCTTTCATTAGACAAGAATAAAAATTTATTTTATCTAAAAAGGTTAAAAATAAAATGTTAAAAAATCTAAATTCAACTAAAAAGGATTTTTCACAGAAAATATGTTTTCCCTCGCACGGCCATTCTTTGGACGCTTGTAAATCTCCTCGTGGAGATTATCCATCAATTTCAATAAGTCATCGATAAGTTCTTCGACGACGAGTTCTTCATGGTAATTCTAAGCAAAGTGGCAAGTCTCATTCAATAGAACGATATGAAGATTCAAGGTTCTTTCAAGACGTTGTATCTTGATAGGAGGAATAGAGATTTTAATTCCAAGGACAGATGGAATTTTTCTTAATTTGGGTGTGGAAAGAGAGAATTGTGTGAAGATGAAAGGAGGAAAGAGATTCTCTACTTTGAAGGATTTCCACTGAGACGCCCTCTTGGAGGCCTTGTTGGACGCAAATCTGGATATCATGAGGATCAAGGACTACCACCGAGAGCTACAGGCAATCAAAATGTTGGTTTGTGTGAATAAATTTTATTTTAACGGAAATTGGATAGAAACACATAGCTCAGGTTGGTGGTGGAGTTGCCAAGTGTAAGAGTTGCCCAGATGAAGCTAAATTGGCATGCTTGAATTGGTTGGAACGAACAGAAAAGAAGAAGCAGGATAAGGTTGTTCGTGAGCTAGGTTTGAGAAGTGATGTTAATGTCTCTTCCGGTGGACAACAGGAAGAAGACCTTACTTGTGCAGGTAGCTCTGAACCTCACAAGTTAGGTCCTATAGACAAGTGGGCACGTGCCATTGATCCTAGCTTGTCTTCGAGTGCATCATTTCAGCAACAAAAGATAAATCAAGCACTTTTTAATGAGAGGACACTTCAAGTCCATCAATATATTGCAAAATGGGTGTACACACATGGTTAGTGAATAGCTATACCCTTTACTTCTTTCTTTGATGCACAATTTGTTTTTCTAATTTACTCCTGAATTTATTTTGTAGCTGTTGCATTCAATGCCATTGAGAATGATGAGTTCAAGCAAATGGTTGAGGCTATTGGTCAATTTGGTCCTGGATTGAAGCCTCCTACACAGTATGAGCTTCGAGAGCCTTTGTTGAAAGCTGAGTATGCAAGGACTAAGAGCTTGTTAAGTGATCGAGAGGCGGAGAAGGAAAAGAATGGTTGCTCTATTATGACTGATGCTTGGACAGACATGAAGAGGAGAAGCATCATGAACATAGTCACACATTGTGCCGAGGGAACCAGCTTTATAAAGTCGAAGGACACATCAGCGATTTCTCACACAGGTGAAGTAATCTTTGAGCTAGTGGACAATGCAATAGAGGAAGTTGGAGCTGAACATGTGGTGCAAGTGGTGACAGACAATGCTTCCAACAATATGGCAGCAAAGGCCCTCTTGTTGGAGAAGAGGCCGAACATATTTTGGAGTTCTTGTGCAACCCACACCATCAATTTGATGCTCCAAGGAATCGGCAACATACCAAGGTTCAAGAAAATTGTAGATCAAGCTAAGGGGTTCACCATCTTCATATATGGCCACCACCGCACCTTGGAATGCATGAGATCCTTCACCAAAAAGAGAGAGATCATCCGACCAGGTGTGACTCGATTTGCTTCTCAATTTCTTACTCTACAAAGTTTGTTGGATAAGAAAGATTCTTTGAGGAAGATGGTGGTGGATGCGAAGTGGGAAAATATTAAGGAGACGAGTTCAAAGAAAGGCAAGGAAGCTTATGACACGGTTCTTAGTGTTAGGTTTTGGAATGGTGTGGAAATCTGCTTGAAAGTCTTTGAGCCATTGGTGAAGCTTCTTCGATTAGTGGATGGGGATGTGAAACCTTCTATGGGTTTTGTGTATGGTGAACTTTTGAAGGCAAAGAGAGAGATAAAGGAGGCGTTTAAGAATGAAGAACTTCGTTACAAAGAAGTCATTGCTATTGTGGAGAAGAAGATGAGAGGCAGACTTGATGCTCCATTGCATCTAACGGCATATCTTCTCAATCCTCACTACAGTTATGCCGACTCCTCAATATTTGACAATGCCGACATTACAACAGCATTGATCACTTGTGTTGAGCAATTCTACCATGGTTGTGATGAGAATATACATGATGAGGTGGTGAACATTGAGTTCACAAAATTTCAAAGGAAACAAGGACTCTTTGGAAAAAAGATGGCAAAGAATTGTGTAAACTTTGACTACAATCCTGGTTAGTACTTCTTTCCACCTTTCCTTGTAACTTATGATTTAGTGTCGTTCACTAACTTAGAGTTAATTAATTTCTTAGTGGCTTGGTGGAGAATGTATGGAAGTGAGACACCTCATTTGCAAAAGATGGCTATAAGGATTATGTCATTGACCTCAAGTTCTTCTGCTTGTGAGCGAAACTGGAGTACTTTTGAGTCGGTTAGTAGTTTTGAATTTGTGTCCATATGCTATATAGTAAAAGTAGATATTAGATGGAAGCTTGTATAATTAATTGTCCTTGCAGATTCATACCAAAAAGAGGAATAGGCTTACTACAAGTCGCATGAATCAACTAATGTACATCCAGTTCAACTCTAGATTGATGTCCAAGCAAAGGAAGATAAAAGAGAGGAAGAATGTTGATGTTCTCATAAGTTCTGATTCAATTGAAGCACAAGGCTTTCTATTTGAGGGAGGAGATAGGCACACTTTGCATGTGTTTGGTGATGAAGATGATGAAGGTTTCGATGGCATTCCATGGAATGTTATTGATGAGGCAAGGGGAGCTAGTGAGAATCTTCAACCTCGCAGGAGTGCCAGATTAGTGAGAGACCTTGCCGATGAGGAGTTTGAGTCTGAAGAAGAAGATGACGAGGAAAGTGAGGCCATTCATTTCGAGGAGGATGAGGAGGATGTTGTGGTTAACAAGAACTATATGGATGAAGATGATGAGTGATCAACTTGGAGTTTATTAACTTGTCATCGCCTTTATGGCTTATCTTAACATTTGTCATGTTTTATTATGTTTGTTTCCTTCTATGTTACTACTTGAATGATTGTTATCTTGAATATTGTCAGTTACAAAACTGCAAATCAGTGAACTTATGAATGTTATGTTTGATTTTGCACTCTAAACTTACATATTTATTTTTTTTTTCGACGTTTAATCTCGCCTAGGCAACGACTAATCGGCCTGGGCGCTGGGCGGTGCCTCCTCGCCTAGGTGGCGCCCAGCGTCTTCTTGAACATTGTGTCTATCTCACCGGGTGGCTTAGGATTTCAGGGGTTCCAGACGTGTTTGGACTCAGTTTTGGTCGGCTGTTTTACTGCTTTCCGTCGGCGGTGGTTGGACGTCTCTTGTGCTATGGCGGCTGTTGCATCTCATTTGGAAGATTGATTAGACTTCAAGGTTTTACTCTTCAAGCTTGCTCCTGTGTTGGGCTTTGCATAGGTTTAGTTTGTTGTGTAGGCTTTAGCGCAAATGTTTTTTGCTTTCTTGGGGTCTAGACCCAAAATCTGTTCACTTGGATTCATTAATGAATACTCACTTTCAGAAGAAAAAAGTAGCACCAAAGTTTGTCAAACTGATTTATATCGTTGCACTAATTCGAAAACAATTTATTTACCATCAATATTATCTTTAATGTGATTGAGGGCCCCTAGAATAGTCTTGTCACCCTCGCCCTCTTGTGGGCTTGCTAGTGTTTACATGCAGTTTTATTTACGTGTCAAACGATACTCTATTCTTGAACTAAAAATGCTAAACTAAAGACACCATTGCACTGACGACTTATTTATTTTACTTAATTAATCAACTGGCAGCGACGTTTTTTCTGTATATTCAAAAATCAAAATGATTAATTTACTTAAATTCATATGGTTTTTTACTAAAGAGGTTTTGTAATATAAACATTTTAAAATGCATTATTTGTCTCAAATTTTGTAAATTTAAATGAGTTATTTGTATGATATTACTATCTTTTGTTATATTTAATATGTCTCGTAATCTTGTTTGCTATCCTAATAAAATCAACCACGTAAGTAAAATTATTTGCAACCAATAATATATATTATTTGTGTAGAAAATAACACTATTTCTCATTTTAAATAAGAGGGTTAATACCTTAGTTTAGCCCGAACTATACATATATTTTCTAATTTGGCCCGTGGTAGTGGAAATTGCTCCTATGGCTTGAACTATGTAGCATTTCCTCATTTGGCCTGGAGGTGTTGACCATTAGTCAATGTACACCTCACCTGCCACGTCAGCTTTGAGGACAAAAAAAATTATTATTTTCTAAATTTTTTTTCTTTTGATTAATAAAATCAATAAATCTTATTACCAAAAAAATTTAATAAATATAAAATTGTTCGCCGCGATGTACTCCGCCACTCCAGCTGTGTCGTCCACCGCCTCACGCGCCGCCTGCAACCCCAGCTTCGTGAGCGTGTGCTTGCACTGGGCCAGCACCTGCTGGTGCGAGATCACGCACTTGATGTACTCCTTGCGCACCCCTGGCAGTGGTGGACCGGCAGCTGGACCTCCCAAAAATATGAAGGCGGTGGCGGAGGAGCAAGTCGTAGTTCATGTGAATCGATCCGCCCAATGAGTTCTCCACCGGCAGAACGGCTCGATCCGCGATCCAGAGCTCCATCGCCTGGAAAGAGACCTCGAACTGGTGACACGGAATCGCCTCACATTTAGACCAAATCCAGAGCAGCCTTATCAATTGGGACCAAATCCAGGTCAATAGTCTTGTGACCGTTGACGAAAGCGATGTAATGAGCAGCAACATGTCCATTTTCTCCTCCAGATCTACTTTCAGGAGGCTGCTCCTGTCCAACGACTTTGCTGGAGAGGATAGCACAGGAGCTCTGCCAGTCAGATCTGCTGGAGACGACGCCGGCGGGGAAGTTGACGGAGTCGTAGGAGCGGTGGATGTAGTGGATGATGAGCAGGCCGATGGGAGGACGGCGGCGGTGGCTAGTCCCAACTATCGAGGACTTGAGCGACGACGACGACGGAGGTGGTGAATCGAAGGGGAAGGGAGAAGGAGAAGTCGGGGAAGAGATGAGTCTGAAAGGGGGAGGGAATTATTTCCCGATAAAAGCAATGCGGGAGGATAAGGGAAGTGGGAGGCTGGGATAATTTGGGGTTTTTTTCCCCCTTTTTTTGGTTTTTTTAATTAATTTTCATATTTTTTTTTGTAATAAGATTTATTGATTTTATTAATCGAAAAAAAAAAAATTCAGAAAACAATAAATATTTTATGTCCTCAAAGCTGACGTGGCAGGTGAGGTGTACATTGACTAACGGTCAACAGTTTTGACCGTCTAATTTGATGGTCAAACCCGCCTCCAGGCCAAATGAGGAAGTTTGCCACATTGTTCAGGCCATAGTAGCAATTTTCAATACCACGGGCCAAAGTAGAAAGTATGTGTATAGTTCGGGCCAAACTTAATACCCTAAATAATAATAAATCTTTTTTGTTATATTTTTAGAAATAACACTATTTCTAAAAATAAATTATTCTGCAACCAAACATCGCATATAGTTGAAACCGGTCTTCTATATACTAATGGTTACTTAAATGAAAAATATTGAAAGTATTGTTTGGAAATAATTAGAAGTATTAATAAAATGAATTCAATTTAACAATAAAAAATAGAGAAAGCTCAATAGAATTATGAAGAAAAAATAGTCATTTACGGTGACTAACTAATTGAGAAAAATCATTTGTTCGGGATTTCGTTGAAAAAAAGGTCGGGTTTCTCTAAACTTAAACTTAACCCAGTTATTGCACAATTAAAAAATCCCCAGTAAAATACCATTGGGTTTTAAAAGTGAAACCACAGGTGTATGAATACCCATGGGTTTACGAACATAATCACACATAATTTCTTTGAACACTCATATCATATGAAATCAAAATTTTCTCTACAAATATATCTCAACAAAGACTTCCAACATCCATAAATTATCCATATTATTATGTTTATATTTACATAAAAGACTAATAACATTCATAAATTATTCTTAGTCACCGGTTAGATACAAAATGATGTCGTTTTTCTTTATGAATACGGGTCAGGTAGAAAATTGGCTGGATTTTGACAAAATCCAAACCCAACTCAACACGCCAAATTTGAAAGTAGATTAAAGCCAAACCCAACCTAAAATCCATTGTTATAAGAACCGAAATGGATCAATGATCGGGTCAGTAGAACCACCAAAACAGTTACGACAACGGTGCGGTTCATTATTTAGACGGTTATTGATAGGACAAACGATTTTTCACGGTTCAACATAAACTCTGATGAACCACCACGATTTAACTGGTCCGCTGGTTCACTATTTTAACAAAAAAAAAAATTGGATATATGCTTCCTCTTCTTTATTCCAACCTTGTTGTCGACTTTATGTTGTCCACTATTGACTGACACCATAATTTTTAATTTGAATTAAAAAAAAAATATGAATTCTCTTGTGAGATGGTTTGAATAATTTATTAGATATTTTGGTGATGATATGAATTTGAAATTGTTTATGGTCAATGATAACTTCATTCATAAATTAGTATAATATACTGTTTGTGCCACGGTACCCGCCGGTATAGCAGGAACCACCCTTCGCCTGGCGCCTGCCTGCACACACAAAGAAGAGGGCGCCTGGGCCCGTTAATCCTCCGACGCCCAAGTTAGTTTTCTTAGAGAGAGAAGTGTTCTCAAGTAGTAATTTTGGTGAGAGAATCCAACATGTGTAAATGCTATCAACTGCCCCTATTTATACTCACCGAACTCGAGGTTGATCTCCTCCACGTCACTACTCCCATTTAATGCTCTGTGTCCCCTTTGTGAGACATCCAACTGCCTTGTCAGGCTCCTGACACGCGACAGGCGCCCGCAGGCAGTGGACCACCTGACAGCTGGTCTCATTTTGGCTTTTAGTGTTTTGTTCTTTGGGCCCTTCCCCTTGCCTGGGCCTAAGGGCTTCTAATGGAACCCTTTTCGGGCCTTGCACCCCAATTCTTCTCTTTGGGGGGCCCAAACTCCTAATTACTGGGTAATACCCCCAACAATTGCCTCCCCCCCCAGTTAGGTGCTCATGGCTTCGCCTTTGAGCGCCTGACTGATTCTCTTATTGCGGTCTGGCGTCCTCTTTGTTATGGGACGCATGCTTCTCGGCGCCCTATGTTGTATTTTTACTTCCGTCATGGTTAAGGGGCACACTTGCTAATCCCCTTTCGCTGACGGGCGTCCCGTCGTTGCTGATGCTCCTTGCAATATGTGCTTCTTTTTTGGCGCTCCGAGGGCGCCTCTTAACTGCGTTCTCCATGCGGGCGTCCCGAGCCCTTATGCCCCCCTCACGGGGGGAAATTTGATGTGAGTCCCACGTTTGGCTTGGCGGGAAAATTCGAAATTTTTAATTTGGAATTTAGAAGATTCGAATTTGAAATTTCGAAAATTTCAAGAAAGGGAAAGGTGGGGGAAGCTCAAAAGTCCGCCCGTGATATGGACACGTGGCACGTCGGCGCGGGTCCTGTCATGGACCTTCGCTTCCTTTAAATACCCCCTCCCCTTTAGTTCTTGTCACTTTCCACCATTCACTCTCTCTCTAAAGTTTCCTCTAACCTCGCTCTAGAATCTGCTCTGACCTCTCTCTTTTCAGTCTCTGCAGCAACAGTCACCCTTCCTCTTTGCGTCCGTCCAAGATGTCGTCCTCACAACAAGACAAGGCTTCTGGGCAAGGCGCCCCGGGCGCAGGCGGTTCAGGCGCAGGCGCCACTGGCGCGGGTGGTGATGCAAGGCGTCCGGCCCAAGGCGGTAAGGAATCTTCTTTCGTTGTTAGCTTTGTTGAGTTTGTTCTAGTTACCTAGGGTAGGGCGTCACTTACCCCGCGTCCCCATTGCGCCTGGATCCTTTGTTGGTTTAGTGGGGGCGCCTGCTTCGACATCTGCTGGACCATCAAGTTCCTCGGCGCCCGGATTTCTGCCTGCGGATGGGTCGTACAAGATCACCACCTGGGAGAAGTGTTTTCCTCCGAACCATCTACCAGTGGAGACGGCTCATTTACCCTTCGACGTGGCCGGGCCGAAGCATGGGTCGACGGTCACCCTGGCGCTCGTCCATGAGCTCGTCAGTAGTCTGCAACTACCGCGCGACTGGTGGTATGCGCCTCCGTCACCAATTTCGCGAGTGGGCGTCTGCGGGCCCAAGTGGATCGGAGTGTATCAGGAGTACTTCCGATTCGGGCTGCGCTTCCCCCTCGACCATATTATGGAGGGGATTTTAACTACGTGCGGTTGTTCATTGGGGCGCCTCTCTCCCTCAGTAATCACGATAGTCATCTTATTTAAGCTGAGGTGTCGGGAGTGCAACGTGGAGCCCACCTTCAACTTATTTAGATACTTTTTTAAGATGGCGCCCCTCGACAACTGTTTATCACTTCAGAAGCGGAAGAAGCGCCCGTACCATTTCGTGTCACGATGTCCCAAACTCAACCGTAAATGGTTTAACGGCTTCTTCTTTATGAAGGCGTATCGGGACTCGTTTTTTGAGAGTGGGGGCGCCTTCCTTAGGCAGTGGGAGTTGGGCCGTGTTGAGGAATTCAACTCGCCCGTTGTACTGTCCCAAGCGGAGAAAGAGGGCGCCCGCTTGATCTGTGCGGAGGAGCGGGTGGACTTGCGTCCTGCGGAGAACCGCCCTCCCATTATTCAGGCGTACTACAATGATGGTCTGTAGGCGCCTAGGTGTTATGTGTTCTTTGTGTTGTGCTTTCTTTGTGCTTTGACTAAGTATGTTCGCCATTGTGCAGGGTCAGATTACTCCAGTATCGCCAAGCTGATGAAAAGTCGGCTTGCTGCGATGGCGGCAGGTTCGTCGCCGCAGGCTCAACAAGAGGCGCCCGAACCGGCCGCCGACCAATCACAGGCGCCCACTGCTCCCCCCAAGAAGAAGAAAAAGAGGGCAGTGAAGGGAGGCACCCTACGTGCGAAGACTGCCAGCGTGGCGTCTTCCGCGCCGGAGGAAGGCGAGGGGGCGCCTAACTCCGATCCCGCGGAGCAAGAAGCTAACTCCGCTGAAGAAGAAGAGGAGTCTCTGCTCCGTCGGGGGAAGAGGCATGGTTCTCCCTTAGCTTCTGCCAGCAAGAGGGCAGACAAAGGCAAGGGACAAATGGGCGCCGCTGCTGCTGCCGCCGAGGAGGAGGAGGAGGAGGGGGAGGAGGGGGTGGAGGGGGACGCCCTCTATCACCTCAATGAAGAGGGGCGCTATGTTGGCCCCGATGGGCGTCCTCCCATCTTCCGGCCACGACGCACCGATGTTGGGCGCATCAACCTGCCCTGTTCTCCCTTGGTTGCCGTCGACCGAGGTTGCACCATGGGCTTGGCGATTGCGGCCGCTAAGTCGTGGCAGGTTCCGTCCGAGGTGAACGGAGATCACCTCTTCGCGGAATTGGCCTAAGTGGGCGCCAAGGTATGTGCTTTTCTACTTGTGTTTTCTTGTGATTGGGAACGCTCTCTTACTTGTACAACGTGCTGACTCTTCTTACTTAAATCATGCAGATCCTCCTCTTTGCCGAGAGAGGCGCCCGGCGCCTCAATGAGACAAGACGGGAGGCGCTCGAGGCCTCCTCTTCTGCTTCCCAGATGAAGTTGGATCTGGAAAATGCAACTGCACGCTGCGAGCAGTTTGCGAAGGAGTGCGAGGAGGCCCAGATGAATGCGGCCATGGAGGTGTCGCGTCTTCAGGGCGCCCTCGAGGATGAGCGGAAGAAGTCGGCGGATCTCCAAGCGAAGAATGATGCGTTGGCGCAGGAGGCAGGCGCCCAAGCCAGCGAAATAGACATCCTCAAGGAGGAGAAGAAGAGGTTGCAGGACGCCTGCAAGGATGCCAAGAAATCCTTGAAGGAGGCCCGGAAAGAAATTTCCGATCTGCGGCGTTCTTTGGACACCTTCGAG